CAAACAAATGTTATGAGATATTTGCAAGACCTCTACAAAATGTTTGCCAAAGCCTACAAGTTAAGCTGTGAGGAACAGATCTCATTTCCTTCCCACATTCTTCAGTTTAAGACAGCCCTTGCGCGACCCTTTGAAGATGCAAAAGCCATCTGCTGCAGAGTCAAAACTGACACTGCCTTTCATGCTTGGAGGAGAAAGGCACTTCTTTTTCTACACAGAATCAGGCCTGGTTTATACACAGGGAGCAGAGTAAGGTGGCAGAATGCACTGTGACTCTTCAGACAGGAGAGGAGGGATTGTCATGCTTTTTTACACGTTCCCTACTTTCAAAAAGCTTGGCAGAGTGGACGAAATTCTCTGATGTGCTGCTGTCGTATTTGCAGCGGGGCTATCTGGTTTTACACAGAAGAGCATCCCAATGTGGTATCTCAAACTGGCAACCCGATGCAGGAAAACCCTTGGAACACCTGCCTAATTTCCACATCCTTCTGTTGCCTGTGCAGAGTTGGGCCCTATTATTATTATTATTAGAACATTTCTATGCATAATTATTATTATGATAATAATGCTATTATTATCATCATCATCCCACCTGTTCTAGGCAGCTCACATCATTAAAGTTCACACAATTTGAACACTCAAAAGTACATAAACATTAAATATACAATTAAACCAACTACATGTTAACTTCAAATAACTACCTGGCTTCGAAATACTACAAAGAGAGAGACGGGGCCAGTGCAACCCTGTTGATTCTCCTGGAACTCTCAGCAGCTTTCAATACCCTCAACAGGTCCAGGAGCACCTCTAAGCTACAAACCCTCTCCTTAGTGTGTATTTCCTGGTCTAAATTGCTTTGAACATGGAGACCAGTGATCTAGAAATACCTTAATAAATACATAACATTGATTCTAGCAGATCCTTCCAGGGTAAACTGGGAGGAGTAGCAGTCCCAACCTTGCTAGTAAGGGATTAGGAAAAGAAGAAATAACAACTCCCTGTTGAATTTAGGGAATTTGTTTCACTTAATCTGAAATCTAAAATAAGAACACAGAATCCTTTTGAAGACTAGGTGATCAGGAACGCTAAGTCCTCCTAGGTCGAAGGGAACCAAACCTCCAGTCCTCCAGCCCTTCAATGAAACACTGGGAATTCTGTTTGCTTGGGGACGTGTGGTTGCTATTACCCACAGGAAGGGCCTGGGAAACAGAAACAGTCAATGTCTCTAGAGGAAAGGTTTAGACTCAGGGACAGAAAGGGATGGGCTGAATTCTCCGTTCTGGCAGAGCACAGAAGCCTGCATCAGGCCTTTGGAGGATATACAGAGTTGCTGGTATCTAGGGATATCTTGGCCAGTTTGGACTGTGGCTGTCAGGTCTTGGGCTTTAACCTAAGTTTCGGGATTTCTTTAATTAGTTTTCTGAATGCAGGTAAAGAAAAAAATCATTTATATCTAACTATTGACAGAGGGAGTATATTCCACTTACCCCCCCCCCCTTTGCTTTATGGCCAAAAATGTAGGTGGATTTAATTGGCCTCTTAAGAGGTTTTTTTTTTTGCCATAACAGCAAGTTATATTTGCAGTGCAATCCTACGTATGTCTACTCAGACATAAGCCCTGTTACAGATAATGGGGCTTACTGGATAGGATGGCACCCTAGAGAAATACATATGATTGTGCTGTCTCTTTTCCACAACTGAACAAACAGCTTTGATAAATATTGTGGTACATTCATTTATTTTCGCATTTAGATGCCTTCCCTCTATCCTAATGGAGTCTTTGGGTGGCTTAAGAATCATTAAAATAATAATCCAATACAACAAAACATCAAATAGTTAATATCAAACAATAAATAGGTTATTACAATAAAATGCTAAAACTGTTTGGGGGACAACCAAAAGACGTAGAAAAGAGAAATGTTTTTGCCTGGTGCAGATTTCTCTGGGGTGGGGTAGCCACTAAGAAGGTCCCTCCTCTATTTGCCATCCCTCTCACCCATTGGCTGCTTTAGTAGGAGCTCCTGCCCAGATCTTAGTGGCTGGACAGGTATATATGGGCAAAGGTGGACCCTGAGGTAGCCAGGTCTAAGCAGTTTAGAGCTTTATATGTCAAAACAAGCCCTTTGAATTTGGCCCGGGCTACAACTGTCAACCAATGCAGATTGTAAATTGGTGCAATATGGGCCCATGAGGTATCTCAGTTATCATGAGGCCTGATTCTGAACCAGCTGAATTTGCCAGATTGTCTTCAAAGGCTGCTCCACGTAGAGCGCATTACAGTAATCTAGCCTGGATGTTACCAGTGCATGCGTAATTGTAGCAAGGCTCTCTCCAGGCAGGAGCAGAGCTGGTAAACTGGGCTGAAGGAAGGCACTCCTGGTCACCAAGTCTACCTGAGCTTCCAAAGACAGTTCCAGGTCCAGGAGCACCCCCAGGCGGCAAGCCATGTCCTTTGGGGGTGCGACCCCATCCAGGACAGGGTAATGGCACTCCAACCTGTCCGATGTATCACCTACTAACAGTACTTCTGTCTTGTCTGGATAGAGCTTCAGTTCATTGACCCTCCTCCAGTCCATCATCAAGGCCAGACACAGGTTCAAGACAGAGACTGCCTCACCTGGATGAGTTGTGAACAAGAGGCAGAGCTGAGTACCATCAGCATCACCTCAGCCAAACCCACCTGGTGACCTCTCTCTCCCAGGGGTTTATGTAGATGTGCAGAGCAAATCTGTCACAGTGAGCTGTCCAGGGGGCCAGGGAGGAATCTGATACACCAGAGTGTAGGAGGCCCGGGCCACCTGAAAAAGCTTGGCAGGGCAGCATTGTGAGGAAGCCATAGACCTGCCAAAAGACTTACGTTTGCCAGCTTTATTGTCTCAGAATAGGCTCAGTAATGAGCACTAAGCTGTGCTTGGTCAGGCTCGTCACGGTATTTTCTCCACTCGTGCTCCAGTTGTCTCCCCTCCGACTTCATCACCCTCAGCAGCGAAATATACCAAGGAGTTGGCTGGGCTCTGCCAAGTGGGGAGGGGACTTGGGCGCATTTGTGTCAACCGCCCCAGCCATCTTCCTGTTCCACAGGGTGCCTTGACCTTTGAAGCTTGAATGCATTGCTGAAATGTATTGTCGTATTTTTATGGAATATTTTTGTTCTATTGTAAGCTGCCCAGAGAGCCTTATGGACTATGGGGTGGCATACAAATGTATTAAATGAATGACCCTCTCCTCTCCTCTTCTCCCCAGGTAAAAAGACCAGAGAAGAACGTTTGGAGGGACAATGTTACAACACCCTGCTTCACACTGGTATGTTTGGAAGCATTGCCTTTTGTCATTAATTTAAAATAAATCACATACTCCTGGATTGAGTCTTACTGGTACTGGTATCCTTTAAGGAAACTCTTGTATTCCCGGAATACGAGACTCAGAATAGTCCTGCGCATGCGAAACAGGCAGAAGAATCTATTCTAACTTGGACAGGCATTTACTGATGAAATAGCACAGCCTAGTGGCTTGAAATAGCACCACTTTTCTCCTCCTGCAGCCCCACAAATTATGGCAGAACTCCATGACAGCAACCAAATCAAATCCACATTGGCTTCTTATCATCATGGAGAATGATGTGGGGCTGGAGCATCGATAGGGCAAATTTAGTGGATGGAAGGAGTGTGCTTATTACTCCCCACGTCATTCTCCATCACAAGCCTTCTCCACAAACCTGTATTTCACTTGGTTTTCCATATAGTCTGCCAAACTGGACACATGGCAGAGATGGAGAGGGAAGTCTGAAGAGAGAGGTTGCAGGGAGAATAAGCAGGCAGAGGAATGCTTAAGCAATATACTTTCACCAAATTCTTCACCTCTGCAAACAGCTGCTGCCTCCTGTATACAAATCTTCCTGTGCAGTTCCACCTTAGTGGCCCAAAATGCTCTATGAAGCAAGCCCTTCAACAGTCTCTGAGGATCCCCTCTCCTCTCTCAAAAGGATCCTCTCTCAAGGGGATCCGTAAACTACCTCTCAGTTCTCTGCACTGATTGAAACCTGCAGTTTCTGTACGACCCAAGCCACCATAGAAGTGCATTTTGATGTTTAGGATGTTACGAAATATCTTTCATTATGACAGTCTGTGTGCGTCTGTCTTTGCGTGCATGCGCATGTTTAGCAGCATGTGAAGGGCACTGTCCCTTCAGGTACAGGATCAACTTGCCTACTCCCTGACTCTTCCAGTAGCTGCTGTCTCACACATCCTGCTCTAAAAGAGACACACCAAGGACCCACTCAGCTGTGCACCTGCATTTTCCTCTTGACCGTTTCAAAAG